CTCCAGGTGAGGTCTCACAGGTCAGAGCAGAGGGGCAGATCTCCTTCCTTGCCCTGCTGGTCACGCTGCTTTGCTGCACCCAGGATCTATTGACTTTAGGGCTATGAGGGCACAGTGCTGGCTCTTACCCAGCTGCCATCCCCAGTCCTTCACAGCAGGGCTTTTCTCCACCCTTCCATCCGCCAGCATGGTTTGCCGTGACCCAGGTGCCATCGTGTCCCAGCAGCTGCAGCCAGCAGAGGGGAGCAGCAGGGAGGAGCTGCCTTGTGTCTTGAGTGCCAGGCTGAGCACCAGGGCCTGGGCAGCTGCCCCCCATCCCCAACGGGTCAGAGAGGAACATGGGCTCCACTGGCACCTGCACGCTGGGCTCCCTGGTGCATACAGTGCTGTGTGAGGCTGCACAGCACAACCTCAGCTCTGCCATCGCCTTGGCCCAAGTGCTTGGGTGCGGGTTTGGGGGGTGGGCTTTGATCAGCATTAACCCACCCGTTGGTTTTGCGGAGTTTTTCTTCCAACATGGAAAAAAAAAAAATAACCTCCCTCGGTTTTGGTCTCTCCTTTTGTTTGTGTGGGCATTGGTTATTCTGGGAGCGCTGAGCCAGATTTTATTGGGATGACTGAGAAAGCTGCCACCTGCGAGCAGCTGCTCGTCTTTGGGCATCGTTTTGGTGTCATTTCTGAACAATTGCATGAGGCTTCTTCAGCCCTTGCTCATAATGTGGTTCTCCCAGGGACACTGCCCAGAAAAAAAGAGATGAGCTCAGATCATGCTTGGCAACATGTCAGGGAGTAAAAAGTGCAGCGGGATTGATGTGTGTTGGTGGGAATAAACGGGTCATGCAGAACTGCATCGGCCCCTCCGTGCCACCTGGTTCCCAGCCCCGTGGCTGCTATTTCCCAGTGAGGCTCAACATCAGAGCTCATCACTGTCCTTTACAATGGTCTCATGTTTGACGCTTGCATAAGCCCTCTCACTGAGCACCTCTTTCCCTCTTGGTGTTTTTGGTGACGCTGCACTTTCAGGCAGGCTCCGAGCATCACGTGGAGCACTGTTCTTCTCACAGCAAGGGCAGCAGCGGCAGCACTGGCCCAGTTCTGCGATGCTGGTGTAGGGAAAGGAAGAGGGTCCTGGTGTTAATGGCTTTGGCCCTGCTTGGGACACCACTTTCTTAGTCACATTGGCCAACAGTCCAAAAATGGGGGAGATTTAGGTGAGATGTTAGGGGGAAATCCTTCACTCAGAGGGCGGTGAGGTGCTGGCACTGCTGCCCAGAGCTGTGGGTGCCCAACCTTGGAGATGCCCATGGCCACGGATGGGCCTTGGGCAGCCTGAGCTGTTGGGCACAGCCCACGGCAGGGCTGGGGCTGGGGGCAGGGAGGGCCCTTCTGACCCAATCATGCCCTCCCATCTCAGCCAGGCAGTGTCCTTGCTCCCAGCCACCATCTCCATTGGGATGTGCCACGTGCAGGGGCTGCTCCTGCCCCACCGGTGCACTGGGCTCCATCCAAGAGCTGTTCACCTCCATCTCTGGAGCGGAACGGCAGAGCTAGGCGCGAGCCTCACTCAAGGATTTGTTTTAAAAATACATGCCGATAACAATGACTCTCTCCATTATTTCATTAAGGGATTTCAAACGTGCTTCCTAAGCCCTGAGTCATCAATGAAATGAGCAAGTGGCAGCAGCGCGGCGGCCCCGTGGAACGTGACTCACGCTGCGGTGTGGGATATGCACTGAGCACAGGGATGCTCGCACCTCAACCCCCCCCACCCTATGGCATCAGCAGAGCCCTCTGTGGCTCTGGGTTTGTTTTGCCTGTGGATCTGCAGCTCCCAGAGCCCCCCTCACTTGGTGTATGGCTCTCCTGGCAGCCAGCAGATCCCCATCTAGTTGCGTGTGAGACGGCTGACGTTCAATGTTGTGTTGTATAACTGCAGAGATAAAAACTTCCATAGGCCTTATCAATGCAGGAGAGATTGATCTTTCCACCCAGAATGCAGAGGAGTGTGCCTGGCCATCTTCTGCTCTGCTTCGGGAGCTCTGTCTCTCTCAGTCCCCTGGCACAGGTGGGGGAAGCAGAGCTCATCCCGGCTCCCTGCATGCCAGCAGCTCTGCCCAGCTCTGCGTGGCCTATCTGGTTGGTGTCCTCACAGCCCCCAGAAATTCTGATCCTCTCCTCTCTCTGGAGATGGCTTCAGCTCTGCTGTGTGCCAGCACGCTTCTCTGAAGATTCAGGCTTTGTGTTCCCATCCTGCTTCATCCCTCTCTGCTTCATTATGGCGATCCATCCACCCTGTGTTGCTTCCATCAGCCACTTGTCCACAATTCCCCACCTGTCACCATCAGCTGAGATCACCCCACGTTCTGCAGCGGGGCCAGGGCTGTTGGTGCAATGGGACTGGGGCCATTGGTAAAATGGGGCTGGGGCTGTTAGTACAGCAGGATCGGAGCTGTTGGAGCAGAGGGACTGGGGCTGTCACTGCCCTGGGTGACGCTGCTCCTCACCAAAGGGCTTCCAATTACATCCCGCATAGATGGGATGCCAAGAGCACATCCTCACCCCCTGCGCACGCTGAGGAGAAAGAAATGAAATGTGGGGGGAGTTTTGGCTGTGTGCTGCGCACAGATCCTCTCTCTTCTGGGAAGAGGGCAGGGGGGGCTGTGTGGGGGCTGTGGGGAGGCACGGGGCGGGTGGGGGTCAGCCAGTGGGGTGCAGGGCAGCCAGGAGCTGAGCCTGGGCTGCTGGCCCCGCTCCAGGCCCGACTCCTTGGACATGGTGCTGGAATTCTGCTGTCCCTCCTCGACTGCTATTTTCTCTTAATAAGGCTCCAAATGAGATGTTTTGGCTAGCCATCATTACAGAGCTCCCCGCTTTCTTGTTTTGTTTTTCCTCTCTCCAAAGCTAGTGCCTCGTTGTTCTATTCCAGCTATCCAATACCCCCTGAGTTTTCCATGACTCTTAAAAACCAGCTGCTCAGTGTGCTTGCATTAACCCATTCCTTGCCCCCTGGGGTTGCTGCTGCCAGCTGTGGGGCTCTCAGTGTCAGCTATGGAGCACCCAGTGATAGCCACGGGGCCATTAGTGTCACTTTTCAGGCTCTCAGTGCCAGCTGTGAGACCCTTGGTGCCAGCTTTGCCTTTGCCAACTTTGTGCTGGGCCATCCCAGGCTCTGAGCTGCCTTGGGACAGTGGCAGCCATCCTGCAGAGCTCTGCTGGTGCCAGGCTCTGGCTGTGGGTGCAGATTCCTCATGCATCAGGTAGTGGTGCTGCCACCAGTTCTCCACCATCCTTGCTGGATAGCGGATGAAACTGAATTTTTCATGGCTTGGGAACTGCTTTGTAGCCATAGTTCAGGATCCAGCACCCTGGGGTTTAGGCGGCAAGTCTAAGGAAGTAATGGCATACCCAGGGGGAGTGCTGTGCCCGATGTACAGGTGCTGTTCCCAGGAGGGGGACTTGCTTTTGCCACGTCGACGAGTTTGTGTGCTTTGAATGAATGGACTGAGAACGAGACGTGCTGGTTGGGGATGGTCCAAGGATGTTTTCCTGGGGAAGACCATGAGGACGGTTCACACAGAGGCTGCAGAGGGGCCTCTGCTTGTGGGAGGCAGGAGGAAGGCTCAGAGAGGAGGAGGAGCATTGCAACCTATAGAAGAGACCTCAGTGAAAGCCACCTCGTCTTGGAGACCTGCTGGGTGTGAGGTGCGGCTGCCGGCTGCAGCACAGCTCCCGTCGCATTGCCCTGCGCTGTTCCTGCCCCGTTCGCATCCCATCATCCCATCATGGGCACCGCTGTTGCTCACTGAGCTCTGCCCGGGCCAGGGCTCTGCCACATCCCAGTCTGTAGGACAGAGCGAGAGCAGCGCAGCCCCTGCTCCGCGCTCCCTGTGCCGTAGGTTTGGCTACAGCCTCGGGGCTGGGGGCGGGTGGGTGCCTTCAGCCCAGGGAAATGTGCCGGAGCCCGGCCGCTGCCCACGGCCGCTGCGGGACTGCGCAGCGCTGAGCGCCCGGAGCTTTCCTCGGGGCTGGGCAGGGAGCGCTCCCAGTCCCCATTAGCATTCGGCCCCGCTTCTGCTTCGGCGCTCGCCTTCGCGATTGCCTGGCAACCACGGAGCAAAACTACAACAGCTGCCGGGCCCGGCGTGCCTCCTTCCAGCCGACATACGGCCGTGGTGACGGGGACAGGGAGAGGACGGTGGCACGGCCACCCTGTGCTGCTGCCCGGGACCCCGCGCTGGTGGGCTGCGAGGGCTGGGCCGTCCCTGGGAGCAGGAGCAGGAGGAGGTGCGGTGGCTGTGCTGCCGCCCTGGCTTGGTGGGTCTGTTTGTCTGTCTGTCTGTCTGTCTGTCCAAACACCTATCTGTCTGCCTGCCCACCCATCGATCCATCCGTCTGTCTGTCTGTCTGTCTCAGCGTGTCTGAGCGTCACACTGCACCCAGTGCATCCCTCTGTCGGTGGGGGCCTTCCTGTGCTCACCCCATCCCCTCATCCCTCGGGGCCTGGATGGCACTGGGCTTCCAATGGCACGAGCTGCTGGCAGTAGTGGCATTCGTGATGGCACAGCTGTGTGGTAACACGCGAGCGTCGGGCTGTGCTCACTTTGCACGTTGTTGGGGTTTTTCTGGACAGATGAATATCATCAACCTGTCCCCATGCCTGTGGGTCTTTCCGCTGACCCCACACCCTGTCCTGCTTCCAGCCTGCCCTGATTCATGGTTCCACACCGCTGCAAGCGGTGACAGATGTGGATGTGCTAGACTCAGAGCCAATGCATCCTCGTGCTGCTGCCATGACCCTTTCTCAGCACAGCCCTGGTGGCTGCAGGCTGTGCCTGCACTGTTTTAGGGGATGGAGGCTGTGAGCTGGCAGCCCAGAGTTCCCCAGCCTGCCCACCATACACACAGCCCAGGCACAGCTCTTCCTCCTCACACATCTTCATCAGTGGCATTGCTCAGCCATGGGTTAAAGGGATGTATCTGTTTTGTCTTCTGTCTTGCAGAGCCTGGGATCAGCAGACAAGAAGGACTTCTACCAGTCCAAGTAAGTGCCAGTGGTGTTGGTGAGTAATTGCGTGGAAATGCCCGGTTTGTCCATATTGCCAGGCAGCTCCGGCTTGCTAAGATTAGACATCTCGGTGTACAGGAATAGCTGCAGCAATTACATGAGCAGGGATGAGAGTGAAGGGCTGTCAGTCACCTTGACTTCGGGGCATCTGCAGATCGTTAAATCAGATCAGGAGGAGCTGCCAGCATGGGGCTGGAGCTGGGACCCCATGGGGCTGTGCAGTGGGGCTGGGAGTGACGTGTCCACTGCTCTGCTCTGAGTGTGCACAGCACACAGCTGCTGCTGCACCCTGCATTCCCACAGCCTCACTGCAGCACGGCACCCTCCAGGCAGGCAGGTGGTTTCTTTGCTGGAGGGATGCCTGGCAGCATGATGAGCTGCATGGGGGCAAACTCTATTCAAACCAATGGTGAGAGCTTCAGTGCTGGCCCCGAGCGCGGAGCAGCTGTGCGTTGTGCTGCTGAGCGTGTTTGCTGTAGGACCCTGCACTGCTCCTGTGCCATCTGGGAGAAGTGGAACATCCTTCTGTTGTCATCTTTTTTGTACTGGGAAAAAGATGCCATTGGTGTTTTTGAAACTGTGGAATAGTGCTCTGCCATGCGGGGTTGTCACTGGGAGGGGTTTTTTGGAAGGTGTAGAAGGGATTGGGCTGAGAACATCTTTTGTCCTCCATAATTTGGTGTATTTCTTTCCTTGATGCTTTCCAATGCGTTCCTGCAGTGCTGCTCCCAGCAGTGCTGAGCCCACAGGGAGCACAAGGCAGCAGCATCCTTTGCTTCCTGGTCCCATTTATGCTTAACGTCACAGAGGCACCCCTGGGTGCCCAGGATGGCAGGGTGTTCTCAAACCCTGACAGAGCTGCTAGGATGTGGAGTGCCAGCACTGGTGCACGTGTCTGGGGGTATCTATGGGCTCCTTTCTCCGTATGCCACCAGAGGCTTTTGACATCCCAGCATGAGTCTCATGGGTTCCAGCTGAAAGGTCTGATTCAGAGCTGCTCTGTCCACTCACCTGATTTTGGCTACCAGCTTCCCAATACCACTGGCAGCAAGAGCCTGCTGAAAACCCAGTCTGAATCATTTCCTAGGCTGCTGGATCCCACCGAGCCTTTTGGGAGACCACAGGAGCATCCCGGGGGGGTCATCGTGGATGCAACCCCAAAATCAACACACATTTGGCAAAGGATTTGAGAGATGTGTTTGTGACCTCTGCTGACCAAGGTCTGAGATTTCCATGCTGCTCACTGCAGTGCTGCCGTGTGCTTTGACCACCACGCTCAACAGAGCCCAAAGCAGCTCTGGTGTCCAGGGATTGCTGAGGATGGTGATGGCCATTCCAGCTCCTGGCCCACATCAGGAGCGGTGAATCCTGGCTTCTTTTGTGTCCAGGAGGCAGAGTTCCCTGTTCTGCATTATGTGCAGGAATGCTGTTTGGATTGGGAAGGCTTAACCTCAAATAATTACATCACCTGAGAACTGATGGAGGTAGAGAACACCTCGGAGAGAGCAGCACATAGACAGCTGCCAGAGCTGACATTCCCAAGAGAGGAGCTGTGGCCACGAGCCCAGCACTGAGCCAGCAGCTGCACGAGTTTTACCACCTGTGTTGGCTGTGCCAGCCTCACGCTGAGAGCAGCACTGGCACCTCCATGCTGCTCTTCCCAACGGGCTGTCAAGGCGTCAAAATGTGCAGGACACATCCTGGGCAAATCCCATCTGATCCCTTTTGGGGAGCAGCTCCCACCCGCTCCGCCCGCAGCTCCAAAGCCTGGTGCCACTGCATGCCTTGGCACAGGGAGCTGCTGAGCAGGCTGCGGCGTTGGGTGCGTGCTGGGACCTCCAGAGCCCCTTCCGTGTTCCTGGTAGAGGCCCCTTGCGAGTGTTGTGGAGCAGAGCATGGGACCGTGGCGGCAGAACGCTCAGTGTGCAGAGCACTGCGGGTGAGTGAGTCCCCCCCACAGGGGCCAGGGAAGGCTGCTGCTTCCTGGAGGCGTTTGCTCTTCGGTGTCAGGCGCGGACTGGTTTCTTTGAACCAAGAGAGAAATGTTGGTAGTAATAACGATCATAAAGCCCCATGTGAGCGCAGACCGAAATACCTGGATTTAATTAAAGCGCTGCTGATTTGCTGCAGGAGCTGCTTGCGCTCGCTGCCCTCCTCTGCTGAGAGCAACGCTCAGCTGTCAGGAGCCGCTGCGCTGCTCGTGTTTGCAGGCACTTGAGGTGTCAGCACTGGCACTGCCCTCATCCCTGTGTGCAGACGTGGCCGTGCTCAGCCCTCTGTGCCCCTGGAGATCCCACAGCCCTCCTGTGGGCACTTTTCAGGGCTCTGTCCCCATTCCACATTCAGGGCTGCCGCCCACCTTCCGTGTGAAGCCTCAGAGGTGTAAACACACCACCAACCTCTGAAACCTCCTTATGTAACTGCAGCATCTCGTGTTTGTTTTGTCTTGCAGTGTTCGTTAAGCCAAGAGTGTCTGCGGCTAATTTGTTATCACCCTGCTCTTAAGGTGGATGTCTTACACTGAGACCTCTCTGTGCCAGCACAGAGATGAAAGTGAATGTTTCATCTCTGAGTCATCCCCTCGTAATTCCTTGGCATCTTTAAGGATCTAGAAGCCCGTATTTAACACCTTGGAAGCATTAAAAGCCATCACAATAATCTAGATGTGTTCCAAAGCAGGGTGTTCATTTCACTGCCTCCTTAACTCGGGCACTATCATTACAACAGCAATAGCAGTGTACCTGTGTGCTGGGTTTGACTTCTTTGCAGTGCCCGAGAGCCAGAGAGCCGCTCAGCTGGGATGCTGCAAGGAGCAGCCGTGCTGCCAAGTGCCAGGCAGTGAGAGGAGGAAGCCCAGGGGAAGGGGGGGTGATGGATGGTGCAGATGCTGCAAGAGGGTAGGGAAGACAATGCTCAGCCCATCTGTGAAGCCACGAGGTTCTCAACACTGCAAGAAATTGCCCCAGAATGCCTTCACTGAGCTGGAGGATGCGTTGCCCAGCCTTAGGAAGGGCTCTGAAGGCATGAGTGGCAGCTGAGAGGCAGCAGAGCCCTAACCCTGGCTTTAGAGTCAGGGAGTTAGCTTGTCCACATGCAGTGTAATAAAGCAAAGAAGATTCCATTGCTGGGCAGGGTATTGTAGTGGCAGGGGCTGAGCCACTGGGACTTTAAATATATATTTTCCCCATGGGTTTGGATGGTGGATACAGAGCCTATGTTATGGGCAGGTGGAGAGCTTTGAGCCTCTCCAAGTGCTGGGAAAGGAAGGGAATCTTTCCAAGGTGCTTCTGAGAAATGTTGTGGTTCAACAAATGTCACTCTGGGGATGGAGAGCAGAGCAAGACTGAAGCTGATGGAAGAGGAAGGCTAGCAGGGGTGGGTGTGAATGGCAGGAGATAGGGATTGCCTTGGGCGTCCGCAGAAAGCAAAGGTGGTCCTGCAGGGGAGAGGATGGGACCCAGCCTGGAGCTGTGGGGGTGGGAGGGCCATGCAGGTTCCATGGGCAGAAGCCCCTTCTCTCACTGTGCCTGGGTGGCACCAGCATCAGTGGTACCCGGCCTGGGACCAGGGATGAGGACCCGCTCCCAAATGTCCCAGCCCAGGGGACGAGGAGCTGCTCAGCTCCACCCCACACAGGACGGGAGGAGCAGTGCTCCGTGCTGGCTCAGTGCTGCTGCCAGCTCTGGCAGAACAAAGTTTGGGGTTTAGTTATTTCTGTACAGCTTTCAATGTGTTAAGTGAGCTTTCGATGCAGGCTCTCGCTGTGCCGGTTGTCATAGAAACTTGAAGGGCTTTTTTTCTCCTATCCCCCCAGCCCCTTTCTTTAAACCAAAGCTGTTTTTTTTTCCTTCATAATTTCACTTCCAATGCAATTAAACCTGCTCGGCCCCTGCCACACCAGGAGTTGGTGCTTTTGAGCTGTGTCTCCTTCTGTCCTCACCTAAGGGTGGCACACCTTGGCAGCCCTGGGTCCCAACCCATGGGGACTCCAATGTGTTGGGGGTCCCACGCTGTGCCTGAGGCCGCACATGGGGACCCATGCCCTGAGGGCAGCAGCAGGGCTCACTGGGCCATGCTGGGGCCAGATGGGAGCCCACTGCACCCTCTGCAGCCCTCCCACATCCACCATGCCTACCATTAATCACAGCTGAGGAAGCAGGCGCAGGGGGGTTGGGTTTGTGGGTTTGGTGGAATGGGGCTGTCACATTGCACTGTGCAGGCTGTGGATGCTCTCCGAGCAGCATCCCTTCCTCCCAGCTGCTCCAAGGGACCTAGTGAGGACCTGTCCCTGTGCCAGCCCGCTGGCTCTGCCCCTCTCCATGGAGTGGGGCATGTGCTGCTTCCTACTTGACCCATGCTCTGGTCTGGGGGAACAGGAACAGAATTTCTGTCAATAAATTGAACGCAGCTCAAGCTTTTAGAAGCAGGACATTTTCCCAGTCCTCGGATCCATTTTGTGGCCCGTCCCCCTGCGGCCCCTCTGGTTTCAGCGTCCCACTTTAAGCACAGCATCTTGATGGCAGGAGTGCTGCCCTGCGTACAAAGGTACCTCCCCTCTCCCACAAGAGCCACATCAGCCCTTTTTGCCACAGCACCACATTGGGGCCTTGTGCCGGGCTGTTCACCCGTGGTGACCCCCAGAGTCCCTCCCTCACCGGGACAAGTCTCTGCCCCTGAGCGTGGCAGGGATCCATTCCACAGTGCTGGGCGGCCTCAGCTCGTACAGCTCAGCACTACTAGGCAGCCCACATTTCTCTCTTTGCCCCTCAGTATTTCCTGTTGCATCCATCTTTCTGTCATCCACTCATCTTCCAAGTGAGGATTCTGTTTTCTCCCCGATCACCGATGGAACCACCACCAAGCACGCTCCCCCGGACCTCACTGAGGACACATCTCTGCACTTCCCTGCTCTGTTTGGGATCTGCCAGCCAGCTCCCAGCCTGTTCAGTGTGCTTCATTGGCTCCGTGTAGTACTA